ACAGCTGCTTACAATGCTGCCTTAAGCTTACCTTTTTTAGGAAGTTTCATTTTAGTCTCTCTCTTGCATGTGTGCTGCATGTAGATATAACTACAGCTGTCTGCACAAGGATCCTTATTTATAATTCCCTGCTTTTCTCAGGAGTAAGACCTATGCAATCACTTTGCAGGAGCCAGTGTTAGTTATTATTAGCCATCTAAGCAATAGTTCAGTGCTTTTTTCAATGATAGCTTTAAGGATGCTTCAGGAGCACCCACTGGCAGAAGCCTAGAGCTTCAACATTGAACATATCTTCTCCTCTTGTTTTTCAATGTGGAAAGATGAGATTGTGTGAAATACTGCAAAAGGCTGCAAAATCATTCTGGTGAAATTAAATCTGCTTTCATGCAGCTCAGTGACCTTTAAACCAGTTCCCTCCACTTTTTAATATGAATAATTATACATACGTGTGCATGCAGCTCTCATAGGTTTAGATGCAGTGTAGTCAGCACTCGAACCATCAGAATTGCCAATTTAAGTGCATTCATAGAACTGTAAGATGTAGATGGAGGTAAACTTCATTTATCGTGTCTATGCCACCTCTTAGAACATGCCATCCAATTAAAACAAGTACTGCAAACGCTGGAAATCTGAAACAAAAACAGAAAATGCTACAGGAACTCAGAAGGTCTAGCAATGTCAGTGGAGTAAGAATCAGAGTTAAAGTTTCTAGTCCGATATGACTCTGAGAGTACCACATGGAAACAGACCGTTCTGTCCAACCAGTCCACACCAACCATGTTCCCAAACTAAACTAGTCCCATGAACCTGAGATAACAAGGTGTAGAGCTGGATTAACACAGCAGGCCAAGCAGCATCAGAGGAGTAGGAAGGCTGATGTTTCGGGCCTAGACCCTTCTTCAGAATCTTGGCCCATATTCTCCAAGTGTTTCCTGTTCATGTAATTATCCTAATGTCTTTTAAAATTCTAACTGTACACGCATCCATCACTTCCTCTGGCAGTTCATTCCACATGCGAACCACTCTGTGTAAAACAGTTGCCCTTCATGGCCTGTTTAAATCTTTCTCCTCTCACCTTAAGAATATGTCCCATAGTTTTGAACTCCCCCACCCTAGGGAAAAGACCCTTCTCATTCACCTTATCTGTACCCCTCATGACCCTTCTCATTCACCTTATCTGTGCCCCTCATGATTTTATAAACTTCAATAAAGTCACCCCTCAACCTCCTACATTCCAGTGAAAAAAGTCCCAGCCTTTTCAATCTATTTTTATATCTCAAACCCTCCATTCCCAGCGACATACTGGTAAATCTTTTCTGAACCCTCCAAAGTTTAATAATATCATTCCTATAACAGTGCAACCAGAACTTCACACAGTACTCTAGAAGAGGACTCACAATGTCCTATATAACCTCAAGATAACATCCCAACTCCTATACTCAAAGGTCTGAGCAATGAAGTGTGCTAAATGCCTTCTTAACCACCCTGTACCCCTGTGACACAAATTTCAAAGATTTTTTTACCTGAACCCTGAGGTCTCTCTGTTCTATAACACCACCCAGGGCCCTACCATTAATTATATAAGTCCTGTGCTTGTTTGTATAACAAAATGCAATAGCTCACATTTATCCAAAGTAAGTTCTATCTGCCACTCCTCAGCCCATTTACGCAATTGATCAAGATCTCTTTGTAATCTTACATAACCTTCTTCACTGCCCACTATACCACCAATTTTGATGTCATCTACGAACCTACTAACCATGCCCCTTATATTCTCAGCCAAATCATTTATATAAACAACAAACAAAACTGGACACAGTATCGATCCCTGCGGACCACTACTGGTCACAGGCCTCCAATCTAAAAAACAACCCTCCACCATCACCATCTGTCTCCTACTGTTAAGCCAATCTTCTATCCAATTGGCAAGCTCACTCTGAATCCCATGTGATCTAACTTTACTACTTAGTCTACCATGTGGAATCTTATTAAAGGTTTACTAAAGTCCATGTAAACAATGTCTAGTACTTTGCCCTCATCAAGTTTTTTAGTTACTTCATTAAAAAATTCCATCGAGTTTGTGAGTCATGGTTTTCCTCGCACAAACCCAAGCTAAATATCCCTAATCTGTTCTTGCATGTAAATCCTATGTTCCAGAATCACCTTCAACAACTTACCCACCACTGATGTCAGACTCTCAGGTCTATAGTTTCCAGGCTTCTCCTTGCATACTTTCTTAAACAATGGCACACCATTAGCTACTCTCCAGTCCTCTGCTACTTCACCCATGTTTATAGATGATACAAATATTTTTGCCAGGAGCCCTGCAATTTCCTCCCTAACTTCCCATAACATCCTAGGATACACTTGATCAGGTGCTAAGACAGCCAGAACTTCCTTTTCTATAATGTAACTGTTTTCAAAACATCAATATTTCTTTCCCTGTGTTCTCTTGCCTCCATTTCTTTCTCAAGAGTAAAAGCTGACACAAAGTATTTATTTAATATCTCTCCCATCTCTAGAGGTTCAACAGAACCATGACCTCGTTGATCTTTACAGGGTCCTATTCTCTCTCTAGTTGTCCCCTTACTCTTAATGTATTTGTAGAATCTTTTTGGATTATCTTAATCTTCTCTGCCAAGGCTATCTCATATCCCCTTGTGGCCTTCCTTATTTTCTTCTTTAGAAAGCCCCTAAACTCTACATTTTTCAAGAGATTCAGTTGGTCCCAGTTGTCTATATCTAATATATGATTTTTTAAATTCTTGACTAGAACCTCAATATCTTTATTCATCCATTGTTCCCTAATCATACCAGCTTTGCCTTTCGCTCTAACAGGAACATAATGCCTCTGAACTCTTGTTATCACACTTTTGAAGGCCTTCCACTTGTCAGTCATTCCTTTACTTGCAAACAGTCTACTCCAATCAACTTTTGAAAGTTCTTGTTTCATACTCTTAAAATTTGCCTTAATTCAATTAAGAACTTTAACTGTTATGGAAGACTTATCATTTTCCATAACTTTTTAAAACTAATTGTATTATGATCACTAGTCTCAAAGTGTTCCCCTACTCACACTTCAATCATTTGCCTTCCTTATTTCTCAACAGAGCAATTTCCTAATTTTCATATTGACCAGTAGTCCCTAACATTTAAGGTTATACCCCATGGACAGCGACTGTCTGCATACCCCCATCCCTTGAGGTTAGCTTTTGTTACATACCAGCCTCACCAACTCACTTAGAATAATTGCAACTTTGGTAATGCACTTTGGAGTGCATGGCACTACAGACTGAAGATGTCTCAGGACATGATCACAGAACTATGCCAACTGCTGGAGCTGAACCTGAAGGTGTAGGTGGCCTCCTTTCCCCATCATCATCAAGCTGACAGCTACATTAAATTTTTATGTAACTGGCTGCTTCAAACAATCCTCACGAACAATAATTCGATCTCATCTTTATTTTAATGTCAGGTTTTCTGAACCCTGGAAACTTCAAGTAGACAATATTAGGTTCAAATCATGATGGAAAATAATGTCTTTTGCCTAATTTAAATAATTTAAAACATCAAAAGCACTACTTTCCTTTTCAGAGGTCCTTACTAACAAGCCTCCAAACCTATGGTCAAAAAGGAGGTAACTGCTTTACAGTTTTAAGATTTGTTAACTTAGCTCCACTCCTTTGCCTGCAGCTGACACTCCATTACCCACTGTGGCAGGAAGTGTGTGTGTGTGTGTTTGGGCAGAGGGGAGTGGAGTGCAGAATTCCCTACAATTTTATGATAATAAATAGGCTCTCTTAGCCTGAAGGCAGTACTATAGACTTGCATTTCTGTGTTCCTAGAACTTGGCTTGTTTACATTAAACATTGTTTTGCCACAGTCCACTGGGTTAAAATTGAGTCTCATGTGACTGGTCAGCTACATTCCTGTGATGAAGTCATATCTTATCTTGCCCCTTTTCAATGTAAAATTACTGTGATCATAGGTCACTTGCTGGATTATATATCTTAAGAGTTTCAGATCTATTGTGATGATACTCTGCCAGTATGGTCAAAGAAATAGCGATAAAAACACTCCTGAGGTTTTGGAACATGTCAAATCCAACTGAGTTGACAGAAAAATTTAATTCCAGTTCTACAAGTTAACCACACATTTCCACATAATACTAAACAAAAATCTTTCTCCTCTCCTGCACTTTCAAAGCAAATAAATCCATATTCACCAAAGGTCGAAAGTATGCAATTCTCCATACTAACAATCCCAAACCATTAATATTAGAACAATAGGTCAAAGGTACAATTGAAATTTTGAATTTGTTCCCAATAAAACATGCATATGGTATTCATTTGATTGTTATTTATATTGATTATGAATTGGAAAGGCTAAAGATTAATTATTCTAATCATTTTACTATTACTAATGATAATACTGTACTATCTGAGTTAATGCGGTCATTTGCAAATCAGAATTGACTTTCTACTGTAAAAATATTATAAAAACCGCAGAATGTTACTTCATAATGCAGTTATCAGCAGTTCAAACTTTAAAAAAATAAACATTTCTCTTCATATACATTATAATCCATGTACATTGATTTCAGTATTTATTCATCAGGATTCAACAATGTTACCTTTGCAATATGTTTTACTAATGGCTTTTTACTTTTGCATAGTTACAAATGCCTCTCTGCAGAAAGAAGATGCAGGACCAAGGTAAATGTAAAACTCATCTCAAGGTAATCTGACAAATACTTAGCACATAACACAAAGATATGGATCTTCTCACTTTATAACTTCATATCCTAAATGTAAAGTTTCAGGCTCTACCATTAAAGTTGCAAGCATTTTTCCAGAAGTCAATATCTTTTCAAATGACTGAGTAGTTGTAAACATTTATGAAATTTATTAGTGTAATGGCAGATGACTAACTGAAATATTACCTATATAACTCAGTACTTTGATCCTCTAGCTGGCCTAAGATCAGAACATTGCAGTCAATTGCATTCATTTTTGAGCAGCCGTGTAGGAGGCAGCTAAAGAAAATGGCTTTTCATTGCCGAGTCTTCCTTGCTTTACTTTTAATTAATGCAGTATATGCACAGGCTGGTAAGTGTTGTCTTGTCATTTGTTTGTACACTTGAGGTGCAACTCCACTTGAAAAAGAGAAATTACGTGAAGGAAAAGATACAATACAAGATCTCAAAAATCACGTTAGCAGCGATCCATCTTCTTTGAAAGTGAAACTACCTGTTTGTCTGATCCATAGCTGGCTGCTTTCCTCTAGTTTATCGAAATGAAAGATGGATTTGGGGAATGAATCTTGCTGAAATATTTCAGATGTCAGAATAGTAAAAGGCCATTGTGTTGAACATTTGTACACAGGAGACTAACAAGGTTTCGGTTTTCCTATTTCCACTCTATTCGCAGCAAAATGGCTTGAAACTTTGTACCATCAATAATTGAGAAAGCTTGCTGTACTTGTTATGTGTTTATGTTTTATTACTGTCACTGTTTGTGCTTAGTCTGTTGATTGCTGCAAGGAAATAGAGCATTATCCTGATTGTGCTTGGTTACTATGGGTAGAACTATTGTCATTTGCATTTAGAGTGCTTTGTCAAGTGAGATTCATTGCACTGGGTCCACTGCACAACTTCCCTCATGCAATCTTCCCCTCTTCACCTCATTAATTACATAATTTGGTTCTTAGAGTCATAGAGATATACAGCAGGGAAAACAGATCCTTTAGTCCAACTCTTCCATGCCAACCAGATATCCTATATAAATCTAATCCCATTTGTGAGCATTCGGCCCATATTCCTCTAAATCCTTCCTATTCATATACCCATCCAGATGTCTTTCGAATATTGCAATCGTAACAGCCTCCACCACTTCCTCTGGCAGCTCATTCCATACACACACTATCCTCAGCATGAAAGTGTTGCCCTTATGTCCTTTTTATATCTTACCCCTCTCACCATAAACCTATGCCCTCTAGTTTTGAACTCCCTCATCCTGGGGAAAAGACCTTGCCTATTTACCCTATTCATGCCCGTCATGATTTTATAAACCTCTATAAGGTCACCCCTCAGCCTCCGATGCTCAGGAAAAATAGTCCCAGCCTATTCAGCCTCCCTATAGCTCAAACCCACCAACCCTGGCAACATCCTCGTAAATCTTTTCTGAACCCTTTCTGGTTTCACAACATCTTTCCTACAGAGGGAGACCAGAATCGCACGCAATACTCCAAACATGGCCTAACCAATGTCTGGTACAGCTGCAACATGACCTCCCACCTCCTATACTCAATGCACTGACCAATAAAGGCAAGCGTACCAAACTTGGATGTCTTCTTTGGGGAAATGGCAGGAGAGCTAGAATCACTCACAACTGTCAGGATCTTTTGTCTTTCTTGCCTCTGCTGCCATATTTAAAGACAAGGGTATATCACTTTTGAATGTTGCATGCCACGAACTGACCCTCACACTGACAGTTATTACCCAACAAATGCGAGAGGAAAGGAAAAGTTGCTCCCTGCTTTGTGAACAGGGACCTGGAAGTGTTGGTGGGCAGGGTGATGGAGATAGGGCAGTCTTTTTTTTGGTTCAACAGGAGACCGTACAACCAGTCCAAGCCAGCCTGGATACATATTGTGGCTCCGGTCAATGTTGTGCCATGGGTGAAAATGAATGTCATGCAGCATCAAAGGTAGATTAAAGGTTGGCTATGTTTCACAAAGGTAAGTGTCACCATCTTCTCTCAGCTACCTCACTCTCATAGGGCCACCACTCACTCTAACACTGTCCCTGCACACACATATCTCGCAAAGATTCATGGAAGGCAACTTCACATTACATGTATCATGTCTGTTCAATGGCTCTCACCTAACTCATCTTCTCAAACTATTCACTCTTCCTGCATTCTTCACTTTCTCTTTACTCACTGGGGACACACTTCTCCTGCTTTTCCGCACCACTAACTCATCTTCCAATCACTTCCATTAAACTCAATCTTTCCTTTAATCTCATGGTGGGAAATATTGCCCCCCACCCAGACTGACAGGATCCTGATTAAGCCACCTGTAATCCCTAGACTTCATGCACTTGACCTGCAGATGACTCTGGCCCAATCCCTGAACTGCAAGGACATGGATCCCCAGACTGTTGTAGGACTAAGTGCCTGAATGACGGTGGCCAACCCCCTGGAGTGCAAGTGGATAAGCCGCTTGACTGAATGTGGCAGTAGCCCACCACTGACTGTAGTATCTTTAGCCCTACTAAACAATTCTCCTCTTTAACATTCACAAATGGCATTTGCTTGAAGCATAAGCAAATTGTTTACTGCATAAACTCCTGGCACATGCTGCAAGTCTGATGTTGTGGTCGGTAACTATGGAGTATGCAAAAACATTGTTTTGAAGAAGCAGTTGCATGTTGGTTGCAAGCTGCTCTGATTTACATGTCAGAAATTTGTACGTCTGGTTTCTCAGTGAAGGAGAGGAGAATTGGTAGTGGCATATGAATAAGGCTTTAATGAGATGCAAATGCATGGAATTAAGGTATTTAGTGCTGGTTGGCCAGATTCTAATATTGCCATTTTGGGTTGAGGGGACAATCTGGAAAATGTTCTCAATGTCAAGAATCTGATCCATTCATTCTCACCATATTTTCCCACATTTCCCATTGTTACTCATGCCACACCAAGGAGAGGAATATTCCACCCTTTGGGTTTTTGTGTTATGCATATTTCATAATCTTTGTGCAGGTACAGAAATAATATCTTATTGGAAAGGTATCCCCAGAAGAGAGGTTATGATCCTGTGTTGAGGGGATCTGATTATAGGGTTAAGGTGGCAGTTTATAAGAGCGGTCTATTGTATAAGGTAATGCTTCTGAGTAAGTTACCGTACACATTGCACTCCACTCTGATCTAATCAAATCACACAGTCTTTGGCAGGAGCCATTTGAAGTATGCACATGTACCCAAAGGGAACAGATATATTCTTTACAGCTCCTGAAAGTCCTTTGTAATTATTCCTGGCAAGTTAACATAAACTGTACTTACTGCTATCATATAATAATGTACATTATTATATAAGACACATCTGTTAAGACTCAGCAGTAGTCTACCACTTACCACTGATAATTAGACAAGTCCTAGATTCAGTGTAGAGAAAGGGGGAACTATCCAAACCAGAATATTACATGGTGGCAGTGTTGGAATCTGAAAAAATGACAGTGTTTGATCATGCAGACATCTTCCTCTTACCTCACAAAGAGTGGTCCTCAAAGCTGTTTTCACCTTGCTGTAGCTGTCAGTTTTCCCAAGGCTGGTTAGCCACAACTATGCCTGGTTTTAGACTTCTTGCTTACTTAGAATTAATTCCTCTCACCCCAAAGTGGGACAATGCGCAGCAAAGCTCGGCTACTGGGCCTGCTCCATCACAATCTCTTCTGCTCCAGCCTAGGTGGTATCTGTTCTTGAAGGTTCTATTAAATGTACTTAGCAGGTCTTCATTTTCCACCTGGTGGTATTTATTTAGCTGTCATTCTGGTAGGGCGCTCAACTGGAGGTGAAATATGTGTCCTTCCACTCTCAGTCGTCTCTCAGTCATGACATCTTATAGGTGCCTTTGTCCTTCATTGGTGATGATATCTCTCTGAGTGATGCCTAATTCCTTACATTGGCAATGCTAGTGGAAGATATCTATCATTACGAGACACCCTTGATGCCACTCCCACATCACACTGGCATAGATTGCAGACATGTTGTTTGTTTCATTGTCCATGCTGTAGGTGTTGGGTGACCACACCGTGTAGAACAGCATAAAGATCAATTGTGTTTTGCCCATTCATGTTTGAATGTCCATCAATGATTGTGTGGACACTATGTTAAGACCAGCATAGAAATCACGGATTCTTTCAATATCATTGCAGGAGTACAGCAAGCCCACACACTTTCCCCATTCCTTTTCCCCTTGGTTATCAATTTGATCATGAGTAAGGCAGTAGCAGGTGCAGACTTTGGCATCCCATGACAATCCCACTGGTTGGTAGATCTAGACTTTGCAGATGGCATGGCTTTGTTGGCCAAAGAATCATGCACAGTTCAAGACATATCTGCCATTCTTGTGTGCAGCGGCCATGAGGTTGGTCTGTGCATCAGTTCTGCGAAAGTGGAGACAATGATTTAGCATTTCTAACAAAATTGTAAGGTCAAACTGTCGATAGGTTTGGCTGTTGCCCTGTCATGCCTGAACTAAAAATGAAAGTTTCTGCCGATTTCTAGATACACTTCCACTTCTCAGAAATGTAATTCCCATCTAGCACCCAATCTTACTTGCTCTTCCATTATAAAATTCCCCCTAAAATATGTTGATTTGACTTACTGTAGTGTCTGGTATTGTGCTTCTGACTAATGCATAGAAGATGAAGACTGGTGGAAATTTAACTTAGTAACACAGCTGAAATTAAAACGATTCTGATACTTCATAGAATCTCTACAGTTTTGAAACAGACCATTTGGCCCATTGAGTCCACATGGACCCTCTGAAGAGCATCCCTCCCAGACCCACAGCTGCATCCTATCTCTGTAACCCTGCATTACCCATTGCAAATCCACCTAGCCTGCACATCCCTGGACACTATGGGCAATTTGGCATGGCTGAGCTACCTAAATTGCACATTTTCGGATTGTGGGAGGAAACCAGACCACCCGGAGGAAACCCACATTGACATGGGGAGAATGGAAAACTCCACACAGATGTTCGCCCGAGGGTAGAGTCAGCCTGGATCCCTACTGCTGTGAGGCAGCAGTGCTAACCACTGAGCTGCTGTGCCACCTATTTGACTGGAAATTACTTATTTCTCTTTGTAAATATGTCGTTCTATTGATAGGTGGAAGAAGTGTTTCTTTGCTCCCTCAATGCTGTCTATTCTCACGAAAAGCAACGTGTGGATAAAGCTTGAAAATTCTTGCTGAAGTGTTACAAACCAACTCTGTTATGTGGCTTTCTTATGAAAATTAAACTTCCTCCAATGCAAAATAGTTCTGATGTGCTTTAAATCTGGTAACTATGGAATCAGCGTTTCCCCTAACCCTTCTGTTCA